AATTTAAATTTCTTGATCGACTACTCTTTTTTCAGAAGATAGTGATATTTATGGTGGACGTCGGCATCGTGAATCCAGGTGCCGCTTTTTCCCTTATGAAGTAGAATATATAATCCTAAACTAAAAGACAAGTACGACAATCGCCTATCTACACTCATTTATGTACGTCGATTAGTGCTGGGCGTTGATTAAACGTTTTAACCCGATTAATTACTACCCTTGAATCGATTTATTCTATCTTTTACTCCTGTGCATAATATAAAAAAGATATAAGTATTTTTTTTTTGCCTTTTCTGAGTACGTGATAAACGGCGCAATATATAACTTGTATTATGCATCAATCTAAATGGGTAGTTAAGAAGAGTTTATTACATTCACACTCACTTATCACTTCAGCTTCATAAGGCAATGAGGTTTGTTAATACTCTCCGGCAAAAGCGACCTCTTTTGTTGGTTCACCATAGTCTCTGCTGCAGTAAACGGACACTCGAACGGCGTTGAAGCGACCGGGACACGTATAAACTTCTTCATTTGTCTGGAGTTACGCTCTCGCCCCTATAGCACTCTAATAGCGAGTTCGTTTCACGGCACTCGTGTCCACGCGTGCCCAGTCGCGGCGTAAAGCGAGTTCGTTTCGGCAGGCACTCCACGAGTGGTTGCACTCTCCGAGTTCGTTTCAGCGGCGGCACCCCACGCGTGCATGCACTCGCTGCACCGAGATAATCGGGCGTGCGCCAAAATGCAATCCCGTCAAAAATGCAATCCCGTCATGCCTCGCTCCGGCGAGGCCGGCGAGGGGCGGGAGCAGACGACGGAGGGTTCGTCTGCTACGATGAGTCGCGGAACCAACTACCTCGTTGCGCGGAACCGAAACGAAAAAAAAGTTGATTTTCTGATAGAAATCGCGTCCCGCGGGCAACATAATCAAACGCGAGCTTGAATTATTAGCGTTATTTCATGAAAGAAGCAATTAACAACCCGTGCTTTATTTGCACGTCTTAAATCGTTCTGCTGCCGTACAGACGCTGAAATATACCAGTGTGTCAAGGAATGCTCAGAACAAACGCATCAGCGGCCCCCGAGATGTTTATCCTCATCCGTGTGAGGGTGAAAAATTGAACATTTGTCGACAAAACTCCCCTAGCAGAAACCTCTGACTGCCCAATAGGCATACGAGAAAGCTAAACATAGTGACTTTACTCAAGGCTTGGGCAACATAGTCATGTTTAACATTTACCTACGTCAGCTAACTTGCCCCGTCGAATTTTGTTCGGAAAAGCTCTCGTTCTCGACGTCCTCACGAAGGCTATAATACCTGATCCACCAGCTGTAATGACGACCAAAATCGAAAGTCCACGAAAAGTTTTGCTGGATATTCCAACAGACTAGTTTTAAGCAATACCACTTCAGTGGTCCACACATAATACCATGCTCGAACGGATGACGCTTCTGCTCGGACAGCATCATCAGTTTTCTTCAGTGTAAACGGTTATAAGAATTGAAAGATCGCAACCAGATGCTTTGTAGACAGCTGGATGCAGAAATTTACGCCGTGTGTTACTAACTCTCTTTACGGCAGCCGAGTTGCTTGAAGTCATCGCAACTATAAACCACAGGTTGCAGCGTTCAACGTTTGTAGGTAAACGTTGGTAGTGACTGCACTCCCGCATTCCCACCCATCACTCCAAACAGAAAGGCCAAAGTTTCGGTTGGAGGTCGGTACTCTTTATACAACACAGATCGCGGCAGCATCAGTCTTTTGCACTCGGTGCATCGGGCGAGTTCGTTTGAGTCCAGTTTTCCGGGGAACACCCTGCGAGTGCGATGCATTCTGGGAGAGAACTCCAACGGTACCAGTGCGTGTGAAACAAACTCGCTATAAAAAAAGTCTGCGTCTACTTTAACGCACAACACTCGGAGAGCCAATCAGCGCAACTGACAGAGGCAGCTCAGTGAATGACGATGCCGAAACACAAAACGCAGTCTGAGCTGTGACATCAAGCAATGCAAGCGTGACGTTTTGCACTGCTTAATGTCACAACTCAGACGGCGTTTTCTGCTCTTAATATATGTTTGCCCATCTTCATTCGCTGAGATTCCTCCGTAAGTTGCGGTGATTGGCTCTCCGAGTGTTGTGCGGGAAAGTAGACGCACGGGCTTTTTTTTAGAGTGCATTTTATTCTAAAACTTGAGCGAAAGTTTGCCCTTCAAACAGGTGTACTCGTCCACGTCTGCGCGGTGAAAGTGTTTGATTTTTACTTTCGTTTGGTTCGTCAAAGTTTTTCCGATTGACCAGTTAAAGCATTTAGTGGCGATTAGCGCATTAACCACTAGGTTAATTGAACACTTCCCAGCCATAATGTCGATCTATATATAACGTTAACATACTCATACCCGCACAAGAACGTATTATTCAAATTAATGAATTAATGTTCATTTTAAAAAAAATTAGTGTTTTGTTTTAATTAAGCGTGCGATGGTGTTGGAATGAAAGTTTCAATTCAGTGAGTGATTGTTGCAAAGAATTGTGCTCCAGGTGCATAGCATGAAGTTGCGCTCAATAGTTCCTTCAGTCTAAAAAAGCCCTTGAATCTACTTCCCCGCACAACACTCGGAAAACCAATCACCGCAACTTACGGAGGCAGCTTAGCGAATGACAATGCCGAAACATATGTTTAGACCAGAAAACGCATTCTGAGTTGAGCCATTAAACAATGCAAGCGTGACGGTTTGCATTGCTTAATGTCACAACTCAGACTGCGTTTTTTGGTCTAAACATATGTTTCCGCATTGTCATTCGCTGAGCTGCCTCCGTAAGTTGCAATGATTGGCTCTTCGAGTGTTGTGCGAGAAAGCAGACTCACGGGCTTTTTTTAGAGTGTTCCCAGTGTGGATAAGCTAGGAACTTAGACAATGCAGCTTAGGTTCACAAAAGAGTAATCACAAAATAAAAATCACTACGATCTAAGCAAGAAACTTAGCAAAACGGAAAGACTCAGGCACGGTGGCCTCGGGTATATTGTTTTGCATGGAAATTTCTATTTACTATATACAGCGTGAAACGACGAGTTCGGTGTCTTAGCGCACTGCCCTATTGGCTTAATTAGAATGTAGTTACGCTACCTTTAAATTTCTAATGCCCTAAACAAAAATGTAACGTGGATATTGACTTGCGGATTACCGCAGCTCTTCATCTGAAAAGAAAACTTGCCCTGCAGAACCCGGTCAGTCTAGGTTCAATTCGCCGTACTCAGTGGTTCACGTCACAAACCTGGGGTTATCAGACGTACTGCAGTGGCCAAATGTCTCCTCTGCAGCAGGCAATAGAGGCCATTTAGAGGCAAGCTTTGCGCTGTGTAAACAACACACTTGGCTTGATGTTTCATCTGCGAAGCCGAAACCAAAAACAAAAAAGACCAAATGTATTTGACGAATGTTATGTTCGAGATTACGGTGTATTTTCATAAGCTATAAAACAAGATAAAGAATAACTGCCTGATGGAGGAGCAAAAAGAAAAGCTGTTTCTCACGTGAGGATGTGCTTTGTGAAGCCGACAACTGTGGATGAATCTCTCAGTCGAAGGCACAATGGCGGCTTCCAAGCGTTTCTCGCCGACAAGGTCCCCTAAAAAAGGGGGAAACAAACGGCGGTCCGTGGATTCGGCCAATCTTTCTGAAACAGGATGCGCAGTCGCCAAGGCGAAAGGAAGGCCGATTACGCGCCGTTTTCCATAAACACAGCTGCCGTGCTGGGACCGGCTTGGCTTTGCGGGCCGCCTTGTCGCTGCTCGAGGCTCGTCAATGACTGTTGCTTTTTCGTCTGTGCCGCTTTGGCGAACAATGGATACCTTCAGCGTCGTCGCTGAATGGGCTATGCGAGGAGGGCGAGTGGAGCTGCTGCTTGCGTAGCGATACCTTCATGACCTGGCAAAAGGCTCTTGACTCGTAAAGATAATAATACTTCTGTCAGACGAGCACATTAAAGGTCTTCAGAACGAACTCCTTTTAAAGAATCGGCGAATTAGTTCGCCATCTTGCGCTTACTGGCGTGCGCTGGTTCGCCAACCCTTGAAAGGAGTTCTGAAGGTCTTTAACATGCCCGTCTGACAGGGGTCTGACAGGGGCCTGACAGCCTATACGTAGGTGTAGGCTGCAAGCAACACCTTCTAGATAACAGTGCCGTAGTGCTGAATGAGATGAGGTCATCAGAGAAGGCCAACGCTGGGCACAGGTTGGAAGCGACGATCGCGTCGACGTTGGGCTCAAACTTGAGTCGAAGCCGAGCGCTGACGCCGCACTCGTTTCCAATCTGTGTCCAGCGTTGGCCTTTTTTGATGACGCAATCTCATTGAGCACTACGGCTTACTATCTAGGAGGTGTTGCTGCAGGTGAATGGTTAGACCGGAAAACCGAAGAGGGTATCACGTCTAAAAATAAATAGAAAAAAAGACCGCTTCTCACCGATTTGCAGAAATTGTTCATCGCGGGGAGCAGACATTGGTTTTCCTCAAATGCAGATTGGGATCCAAAGTGCCTCACGTTTAAGTTGGGCTAGTTGTTACTTGTAAGTAAATCTCAGTTTCCGTCCTCGTTTTTTGCCTGATTTTATAAACCTCGTATTATGCTAGTTTAGAAGATATAGTATTCACCTGCCAATAATCTGGTTTCAAACGAGAAAAGTCTAAAACGATAAAGCGTCGCTTTCTGGTTGTGCGCAACAGCGCTCAAAATACCACCTTGGGATTTCTTGACGGCTTGGTGCCCGGATTTTCTCCGGCAAACAGGTAAAAGCGAGTTACGTGCTACCATCTTGTCCCCCCGATGTATAATTACCATAAGATGCTCCAGCAAATGACACGCGCAAAAGCGGCAAAGTCAAGCTGTTGCTGTTCCGACCTTCGTGCGTTCATTATTCTTGTCTGTACTCGCGTGCGTCATACGGGAGGCTACGGTCTTTTCCCACTGACTGGGGTTTCTTCCTCGTTTCTTTCTCGCCACAGAGGGTCCGTCCGGTATCAAGGATCCTTCGCGGCAAAGAAAGCGAAAGAAGCCCAGGGTGTTGTTCTCGCAGTCCCAGGTCTTCGAGCTGGAGAGGCGGTTCAAGCAGCAGAAGTATCTGTCCGCGCCGGAGAGAGACCACCTGGCCAGCATGCTGAAACTCACTTCCACTCAGGTACGCTCACTCCACTCACGCGTGTTGCAGGCGTTGCGAACTACAAGCTGCGCGTGGATTGTGATCGTGATGGTCTACTGAACTTTGGACGTCGCTGGAAAAATGTCTCCGAAACTAAATTATCTTCAAATGCTATGCGTAAAAAAAAAAAAAAAAAAAAAACGAGGGAGAGGAGGACATTAGAGCCCGTGGGGATTACAGAGAGCCGAGCTTTGCCTGGGAATGTTTAGTGGGTAGACGAAAAGCGAGCTGGCTTTGTATTTACTTACCTAAACGGAACCGCAAAAAGGCAGGGACAGAGTCGAAGTACACGCAGGACAAGCACTGACTCTCAACTGAACTTTAATAAAAAAACAAAATCAGCAACACCGAACAAATCACACTGTGGTCAATCAACACATGCCGTACCTCACTCTGCTGGCTTTAAAGGAATGCTGAACCGAAATCTGGATTCCACAAAACACGGCGGCAAAAGCGTGCAACGGGTTGCTACAGGCACCAAAACATCACTCATTCAGCGATATCTCAAACGGATCTCCGTATTTTTTTTTTTTTTTTTTAAGAAAAGGAGGCGCATTTGACTGATATGCTTACGTCTTGTTTCTCCAAGAAGGAAAGGGAACGGCCTCGCGTCTTTTCCGCCTCGCCGCCTTGAGGGGGCGAGGCGCAGAGAGGAAGAAATGAGATATCTTGACGCCACATGCCGATCGTCGGCCTCGTTCAATCTCGACCTTTTTTTCCGAAAATACGGCCGTTCATTTTAGATATTGCCTTACGAGTAGTGTTGTAGGGATTGTAGCGTCCCGCCTACATCTTCCTGCATTTTTTTTAATCCAAATTTCGGCTCACAATGCTTTAAGCATTCTTGAAACCACTCAATCATGACCATACGCGGCTGATTTCCCGATTAAAAGCAATCAAAGATCGCAAGTCACTGAGGTCATCTCCGGCGTTCGGAGGAGCATGTTCCGAAACCAGGACCACTGTCAGCCAATGGCAAGCGAAGGATCCTCTCCCGTCCGACCGATGGAACCGCGGAGTGATATCTCGAATGCGCGGGGCTCGCAGCCCATACAGCCCGGACTACGATTAAACCCAGTGAGCGCGGGCTCGAGCGCTGATGACCGACTTTTCACTCCCGCGGAAGTAAAACAACAGCAACAAAAATCATAGTGCGTTGTTTCTGAGGCGATTATTGCAGCGTTATATTCCCTCTCCGCGAAAACAAAAACATTTTTCGACCACTCTTACTTTCTCCTATCATCTACAAAAGCATACCCATTTTGTAATAACAGCGTTTGCAATCTCAACGAAATGTCGCATTTCCGTTGGACACATGCCGTCCTGGCTGCCGGCACAAGGCTCCTCCCATCGCCGGAGATACTATCGATCTCTGATTGCTTTTTTTAATAGGAAAAACGGCCGCGTATCATTATGATTTGTGGATTTCTAGGATGCTTAGAGCCCGCAGAGTGAGTTATCGCCATATTTAGACGATCTCAGAAACCTCCACAGGACACCTCGCTCACCAGTCACCTAGCTGTGTTTGGAGATTTATGTTTGTCCTTTGTCCCTCTTGTTCCCCTTCTCCAGGGGTTATATTCATCATTCTTGTCCAGCTCGCTTGCACCCTTGCATTTAATTGCATTATAATTACACCTTTAAGCTATCTACATCCACAATAACGCCCCCTGTGAAAGTTTCGCAAACGCAACCTCGTTTATCTTTTATCTCTCTTTTATTTCGTTTGTTTTTGATCGTTTGTCTTTTATCTATCTATCTATCTATTGTCTTTTAGCTGTCGATTATTTTTTATCTAGACTTCATTTCACTTTTCCTACCACTGCCGACGCTGAGATTCAATGGAGACAATCAAGCAGCGGCCAAAACTGCATCGTCATACATCTGTGGAGTACTTCGTTCTTTTCTGATTCTCTTATTAAGCCGTTGGTTGGAAGTTCTAGCTCACCATTGTCATGGTTTTTACAAGCAGGGGAGTATGTTCGCTTTAAAATTTCTTTTCTCTCCGACGTTATTTGTTTTCGTCTGTAAAAAGGTTTAGTAGTGTTTGAGAGGTTTGTGTGTTAGCGTTGTCCCCCAAGTATTTTGCACCATGTTTAAGTTTTGCAGGATGTTTCTTTTCAAGCTTAACATGTTTTTTGTTAAAAAAAAGGAAAAAAAAATACGTGAAAGTTACATAAATTCGGTTTGTGCAGGTGAGTTATACGGCCAGGGGGAAATAGTACAGGGGGGGGGGGGGGGGGGGGGGGCTAATCGTAACGATCGGTCAGACGATTAACTAAATTTCGTCAATTAGCGTTTTCATTATTGAAAAAAAAAAAAAACACGTGACTCTGAATACAAACTTGCTTAGCGTCATCGAAAATCACTAGATCAGTCAATGCTAGAAAGACTTGGGGCACGTGGGAAGCACGGTGGAGCGCTAAAGTCTCGTGCAGCAGGACCAAGGCTACCGGTGCGATAAGGCCCCCACGCGGTTTCTCCGACTCATATCATCCGCGTTTTCTCACCCATGACTCAGCTTGCAGAAACCTCATTATGCTAACGCTTTTTAAAGCAAATCTGTCAAGCCGAAAAAGAAAAACTCCCTAGGTAAATGTAACAAAAATGGCGTATTCCTCCTCACACTGACGGACATGGCCTTTCAAATTTTTAACACAATTCAAAATAGCGAGTGCCCTCACATTGAAGTTACTCAGACCAAGCCTGCTAATTATAGGGTGCCCCAAGTCACCAGGCTCTATCGTAAATGGACCGTAAAAATCGACGCCTGCACGTAGCAATCTAAACTTTTCGTCAGAGGTGTATTTCATAGGTCGGTTTTTTCTTGTAAAATTGCAAAGCGTAGCTCCCTTTCTGAAAAAAATAAAAACAAATTGGGACAGATACCCTGCCAGTCCAAACGGCGGGCGGCGACGTAGACGACCAAATCGAGTTGAGCGGTGCGTTTGGCGCGCATATTCATAGATGGCGTCGGGAGCAGCGTCTGAAGGTGTAGCCGACCAGCGAAAGAAAGCAGACGACACGCAGATGAGATTCGTTTGCAGCAAAAGCGCCGTCGTTAAGCATACGCGTCCCCCCCCCCCCCCCCCCCCCCCCCTTTTCAGTTCTGCTTTTATTGTCCGCATTTATTTTTAGCCAGGGGTACATTACAAAAAGATTATGTTCATGTTAATAAACCACGGTGGTCGCGAGCAATCTTGATAAGGAGGAAGCGCCACCTATCAATACGAGAGTCAAACTCGCCCAGCAACTCGACTTGGTCGTCTGCGTTTCCACCCACCGTTGACCCTGGCAAGTTTCTTGACCCTATTTTTTACAGAAAGGGAGCTACGGTTTCTAATTTTAAAAGAAAAAACCGACCTGTGAAATGCATCCTTCACGAAAAGTTTAGGTTGCTAGGTTCAGGCGTCGATTTTACCGGGACACCTTATATACATTGGACATCCTGACGCCCATTTTTTCTCATATTTTTAACATATCAATATATCCCGCTTTTTTCCACGCACACAAAATGCAAATTATTAAAATTTTCGTTATTTTCAAAAGCGAAGACAATAACATGTCTGAAACTGGAGACTCATTTTCGTTCTTTTCATGTTCACAAAGCGTTCCGAGAAGATCAGTTACAACTTACAAAGGAGCTCGCAACCGTGATTGTTAAGGCTCGTTCACATAGTTGCGTCGACTGCGTTGCGCTGCGTTGCGACGTGCAGTACAGCGCCTCCCCATTGGCTCGTCGTATGATCGCCATAGCAACAGCTCAACGCATACAGCCTCTACGCAGTTAAACACAGACGGACGCAACTGTGTGAATAAGCCTTTACAATAACTTCACCTCTATTTGGTGACAAGATGTTTTGGTGACGCCACCTCGCGGGCGCCCGCCTGTGACGCAGCTGGTAGGATGCGAGCGCGCTATTCAAAGCACGGAGTGGCTATGTTACTTCGCATCTTTGCCGCTTAAAAACTGTTTATTTATTCAATAAACGTGTATAACGTTTTTGTGAGTGATTTTTTCAACGAAGAAAAGCGCCTCGAAGTTGATTTTTGTATAAGGAAGACTTTAAAATGTTCAAAAGCAAGCCCGGAGCTTCACATTACAGCTTGCGCGGCGTGACGCAGGGGTCAGGGCTATTCACAGCCTAATTCTTGTTTTTCCAAATCAATGGAGGCTGCTATAGAAAAAGGTTTTGCATTAGCAAGAGTAAAGGACGTGCTGTTTTTTTAGATGTGCACGCGCGCACAGTTTTGTTGCAAAGCGCCGCGCACCTATTTTAGCTACATTGGGCTTGCCGATACTGGCGCTTCTATCCAAGTGTGACTCGACAGTTGCTGCCGAGCAAATAGTCGTCAGCAACTGACGCATAGTTCCTCCCGAAACGAATACGTTTCAAAGAGGTTTGGCACATCGCGACTTCCGCTTGAAAGAGAAGCAGAATGTTTCAAGCATTCTTAAATTATCGGATTCGGCCCGACAAATTCAGGCGATAGGTTAATTTGTTTTAACGTAATTTTACTAAGGATGGTTTACAAATTTAAAATCGCTCTACTGAGAAGCGCAATACGTATTATGTGCATTTGAGCCCGCAAAAATTAGACATACAAAAGGTACTAATTTTTGGGATGCTGAAATGTCAACGACTTACTAGATTTAAGACTTCGATTGCGTGGGGGTCTCGCACGTTTCCCGTCAATTGGGTGAATAAGCAAGGGTTTAGTTGAAACGACTCAGGATGCCAGCGACCGCTTTTTCCGACCAGTTATTTTTAGAGAATGTTTGTTTCATGGTTTACAAAATTCAAAACGGAACCAACTCGGAACTGTAATAAGAAACCAGCACTCACAGAACAGATTGACACCGACAGGATTCACGAAGTCGCTTACACTGAAGTGTTTGCTACACACGCGAGGCTTTCTCGAATTTCGCTTTCCTATTCTGACTGATCTTCGACGTTTATTACTCAATTCTACTTCTT